TACCTTGACCTAAGTCATTTAGACTTAAAAGGGCTATCAAAAGATGAGATCTAGACCGTCCATCTTAGGACACCTTAAGATGAGATTAAGAGAAAGATTAGAGCACCATCCTCATGAAATGATTTGAGCCATTCATCAAGAGAGTTGATTATTAATCATAGCCATCTATTAGAAGGGCCTAATTCTCGAAAGGATTAAGGCATCTCACCCCCTTCTTCGAGACGCTTTTTGGCTCTCTCTCTAGCAGTGGTTAGCTGAAGGAAACATGAAAGAAATCAAGGTTTAATCAAAGGCATTATTATGCCCAAAATCATTGTGGAGAAGAGATTACCTAGAGCGCATCAAGATCGTCATGGATTGAGCATCACTCAGCCTAGGACTCGCACACAATAGAGTCTGCGCAAGATATAGATTTGAGGAGTCTCTGTAATCCTCTCTATAGATAGATTAATTTTTAATTCGAACTAGTTTTATCATTTATTTTATCATTTTATTATGTTAGATCCATTCTTTTCTCTTTGTCACACCTTTCATAACTCTTGTCTTCACCTTTTTACATTTAATTCCACCCTTTGCAATCTCATGTATACATATATCTATATAAGAAATAAAATAAGTAGAATTTGTACTCTCATTACCCATGCTCTTTAAGGATCAACTCTTACTTATTCTAAACAGAAGATTGATGTTTTATAAATATTATTTGTATAAACTTAGTTGCATTATGATGACATATTTAACCTCAAATTTGAATTCATTCTACTCTCATATCAAATTAACCCCTTCTTACTAAAAGGATTAATGAGGTGAAGAGGAGGCAAAAAAACATAAATTATTCATTCAAAACATCAAATAGTGAATCAATAACTAACCCAAAATATAGATCATAGTGCCTTCTTCATAACATTTTGAGTAATCAAATAGATCCCTCTTGGGAATTCTTAGATTGGCTCAAGAGCGAAGTTCTTGGACATCTCCTCTTCTCCCTCTTATGTGCCCCTCTCCAATGAAACAAATGCTATCTTTCTCTATTCAAAAGATCTATTTATTTGTATTTATGGAAAGTAAAATCTCAACCCTTGATGTTCCTCTAGATGATGCACAACCTATGGATTAATCCCAACCACCTTAGAGAGGTTCAAAGTGGGAGGCACCACCTAGAATTGTGGTGTTTCAATGTCTTGATTAAAACCCATCCCTTGATGCTGAATAGCTGGGATTGAGCCTTGGGGGCTTGATCCTTGTAGGGGGGTTGCGGTTGATCAAGTGGTATCACATACCCCTTCTTCTAATTGAGGAAGGAAGGAACTACCCACCTTAAGTGGGCAGTTCCCTTAATTTTAAGGGGGGAGGGTGCAAATGCCTCGTTACTTCTTGGTGGGCCTCCTCTTTAAATAATGTGGGCTGTCTAATTGACCCATGGACTTGATATGATCTGAAACACAATACTAAAATAAACTCCATTACCCCTTAAATAAATAAGTACAAGAAATTACGCATAAATGGTAAATCAACGTGATAAATCTAGACTCAAATACAACTTAGCAAATACATAATAAATCAAAAAAATCATATGGATTATGATTTATAATTTAAATATTCATGAGTAAAAACACATATACTAAAACTAAAAATAAGAAATTGAGAAAATAAATAATCCCTAAGAATATCTAATTTCATTGTGTACAAAATTACTTTCTTATGTCTGCTAGTCAATCATCCATGCAAAAATTCATAATTAATGATATAAATGTATAACAAAATACTATTTATAATCATATAAATATCTAAAATATGTAGAATAAAACCCATATAAATTAACAGAATTAGTATGTTATCAATTTGATGTTGCTTAGAAGATAGGAGGCACTCAAATGGCAGTTGAAATGACACTATTCATCACTTCCAATTAAAAGGCTATTTATGAAGAAAGAAACATTGTGCCAATTACAAGGCTTTCTATGAAGAATTTTTCTGAAATCTGGCAATAATTTTCATTTTAAGCTAGTACATTTACTCTTCCTTCCTTTTGAGGAAGAAAAGAATGACTAATAGAGTCCTAGTTGTTTGTCTATTATTTTTGATGCAACTCAGCCTACCACAAAGAATATGTTGCTATGGAGATAAAAGGGGTTTTAAGCTAACGAATTGGTGTTGAACTTATCATTTCTTGTTTCATTGATGTAATTGAAAGATCCTTAAATAACGAGATGATGACATTGTTGACTTCATCACTTGATCAAGTATTATACCATCAACATAAATTTAGAGAATTAACATAATTTCATTTTTTATTTTAGTAAATATAGTGGTATCAACTACATATGCCTGAGTTTCACTTTGATACAAAATTAATGTCAATAACATAACTTTTTGAAATTAAAACATTTTAATTATTTGTTTTAATGAATACATTGTAGTTGAAACTACCATTACTAAAGTGGTTTTATATTTAGAATGAGCTTACATTAATATATCAAGTTCTTGGAGATTATTATAGTCAATATAAAGCTTTTATCAAGTTACAGGGCATTGTTGGGAAATTCAATATTTGTGAATCTAAGTGGTCAAGACATGAATGTTTTCCTTGATGATTTAAGGTAAGATTGCATTCTTGACATACATTGGATGTATTAAGAGGGTTTTAGTTATAACTGAATGTGAGTCATATCCTGATGAAATGTACTCTTTCTAGAGAAGAACAAGTCTTTCTTGTCTCCATTAGGATAAATTAGATACTTAGGGGGGGTGAATTAGCATCCTCATATTATGCTTGAAAAATATACTTCTAGTAACTTGCAGAGCTAGATATAATTACGTTGCACTGGACACTTTTGTGTTGCTGAGTATATTAGGGAGTAATTTTCCATTGTCCTTACATGATTTATTATCAAAATAAAACTCTTTAAACTCTATTAGATTTTTAAAAAGGTGGTTGTCTTTAATCTTGTTTATCTACATCAGCTTAATTTTCCTCATGCCATTTCTGTTTTAAGCTTTCAAAAATGGGGGGAATATTGTACATTTGTTGTTCAATAATGTTTTCAAGTATAAAGTAGTGAAAGAATCATCAAGGAAATGATACAAAAAAAGAAAATTGGAAATGAGTATAAAAGAAAAATTGACTCAAGCCTTGTCTAGATCTACCCAAGTGAGTTGACTTAGTAGGTTAACTCAATTATTGTAGACTCAAGTTGAGGAGAGAGAAACTCACTAGAGTTGAGTGGATAACCAACATATTAGATTTATGAGAGAGAAGAAAGAGGACTCTCATTGAAATCTAATATGTGAGACATCTACGATCATACTAACAAGCACTATAGCATGTACAATATTTGATCATTTTTACATTAGAAGATAAAAATAATCAAAGAATCTCATACTGACATGTATGCAATAGATTTAATTCAAAAGCTAGTGAATTGAGAGAATAATTATGTTTTGTACAAGTGGACACATGAGTTCATCTATAATATATTTTACTAATTAAAACTTTGTTGCTTGGTATCTGAGCTTTGAACTACACTAGTCGTGTGACACATTAGAGAGGAGTTACTCAACCACCGCCATAATGACATCCAACAGTTTCTAATGTTATGACTGACAATTTTACAAATAAGCGGGGAGTTATCTACTATCATGCCATGAAATTGGACAAAGAAAACCTTCTCAGATCTAAGCCATAAAACTTGAATACCACATGACATTATTGAGAGAAGGCTCCTTCCAACTTAGTAAGGAGTTGTAGCTTATTGAGTGAAGAACTACATTGTGTTGTACAAGTGGACACATGAGGTCACCTAAAATATCTTTGACTAACTAAATATTTGTTGCTTGACATCTGGACTTTGAACTACACTAGTTTTGTGACACATTAGAGAAGAGTTCTCAACCCTCGCCATAATGACGTCCAATGATTTCTGATGTTAGGACTATGAAAATTTACAAATAAGAGTGGGGTGTCTATTGTCACGAAATCAAATTTGACAAGAAAACCTTATCGGATCCAAACCATACAACTTGAATACCACACCACCACATTATTGATGGAAGGCTCCTTCCAACTTAGCGAGGAGCTGTAGCTTGAGCTTTCCAATTCATAAGATAGTGACGTCCGTAGAGTGTGGGCGTGAAGAATTAGACTATTGAGGATGGAAATATTCTTCTCCTTATAACACAACTGGCCAGAGGTTGACGTACATTTATGATTTGCAGGTAATTCACTAATTCTTCCAACCCATCATTTGAACGGAGGAAAGGTCCCTGTGCACCCGATCCAATGCTTCCACTCCGAGTTTCTCCTTTGAAGGTGATCGTACTGTAATCAGTGACCTCAAAGCGAGGGCATGAACGCTTTGTGGAAGGTTACCTTTGACACCCCACCATGTGACACTACCATTTAGAGTACTGGTGCTCGTGCTCCATGCCGATTGGGAAGGGGTTGGCGCGTGTTGGCGTGGTCATGGAAATAGCCGATGCTTAGGCTGCTGCTCCCCGGGTGGCAGATACTCTGCGGAGAAGGTGAGGGAGAAAGGGTGCATTCCGGTCATACGAGGATGTGCTCGTCTTATGTGAGGCAAAGGTACATCGGATTGGCATTGTAGATGACATTCTTCTCCTAGTTTTCCCCGGCGAAATGTCGAGAGCTAGCAAATTTACGTTTCACCGCCCTACTCGCAAGCAGAGGGCTAAAAAGTCGTGGAATAGAGTGACAGATTTCCGCCACCGGTGCAGAGAGTTGAGTTTTCTTCTAAAACTCTAGGTCATAAGCTATCTTTCGTCAGCCTATTAATTGGAGAGCTACTAATTCCCGAACTGCCACCCTTATTATCGGGCTTTTAATAGCTGCCGACTTAATGGTCTGATCAGGACTGTTCTCCTCAACGGTCTCTATATAACGTCCCAAGCGTCTCTGCAATGTCACAGGCATTCCTCTTCAGTCCTCTTTTCTCACCCTCGAACCAAATCCCTCATACCTCGTGACTTCCCTTTCTGGTACCATGGCCACGAAAACTCAAGCCACGGCGGCATTCCTTCTTTTGAATCTAATGTTCTGCACATTCGCCTCTGGCCAACTCCCGTTCACTCCTTCAATTCCTATCCTTCAATGCCCCATCAAAATCACGGAAGTAGTCGTCTGCGGCATTCTGATCAACCTCATCAAAATCGGAGATTTGACCGCAGCAGCTAATTCAACCTGTTGCGCTTTGTTAGCGCCTCTAACGAATGATGAGGCGGCCAACTGCCTATGCCTCTCGGTAAAGTTTACTTTGCTTGGTTTCATCCTGAGCGTTCCTGGTGACATTAATCTGATACTGAACTCCTGTGGCAAGAATATCACTATCGGGGGTTGTTAATAGTTTCTCGCAGCACACTTCACGCTGGAGAAGTTTCCCTTGTATCCTGGGTCGCCCTATGTGGTTTCCCTACCGTTGTTTCTCTGTGGTCTACGTCTGTCCTGTTTCGTGATGTAACGTCAGCTGTATGGGGGGTAAGGGAGAGACTCTGGTCTCCTGTTCCCGAACCCCACACGTGAAAGAATAATTGTCCTCTGAATAAAGATGTTTCCGGTGCAATTTGTCTCAAACTGCGTCCTCCCCCTCAGAGTGGGGGTTGTTTGTCGGACTTCAGTCGGGCTAATCCTCCAATAACGGTATTTCTGGTGCAGTCGATTTGAGAGCGAATCACGTGCGCACCCTCATGCGGGGAAAGCGTCGAGGAAGGATCCGCCGTTGTTGCAGTCTTATGACGGTGTGGCACGACATGCCACGGAGTACCTCAACATATACCGGTTGACTGAGGTCCATTACACAAGCTCCCTAATGCGCTTTTGCCGAGAAGCAACTCCAAATGTGCATGCGGGCAGTGTAGTACCCTCGTCGTGGGTAGCGTCGCATCCGTGTAGGCTGTCTGCATGGCTTGTAGGATTGGATAAGGAAGTTAGGCGTCACATTCTTCCTCACCTTTGTCACCCTATCTGTCAGCATCAATGAAGGTCGATGTTGATGTGTTAGCTCCCGGAGCCCCTCCCCGAGTTCTTTGCCTCCCTTTAGAAGCCGCCTGGGGAACCTCGCTGTGGAGCCGGGGCAGTCTGAAGTTCACACCCCAGATTATTCGTCCGTAGCCATCTGCAATATATCCTGCGACCAACAGAATCAATTCAGCACTTCATCAAGCATCGTAAATTGGGAGGTACACCCGGTGCAAATGCCTTGGTATTCCCCATGTCGTTTCTAAAGGGGTCCCCTAACCTTGGAGGACCTATCCATTCGAGGTTCCCCAGGGGTGCCTTCGGTGCGAATGCCGTGGCCTTCCCCATGTCGTTTCTAAAGGAGTCCCCTAACCTTGCAGGACCTATCCATCCGATGGCGCCCGTGATCGGATGGCGGAGGACGCCGGCGGCGAGGACTCCATCTTCGCATGTGGTCGTTCCAGACTTTGATACGACGGCGCTCTCCGCGTTCGCTGTCCGGCGTCTTTCGGCTCCTCAGGCGCAGTCGGTGCATTAAGCGTGGGTTCTCATGCAGTTTCTTGGAACGCTTCACAGGTCGACCTATTCTCATACAGCTTCTTCCTACCATCGAATGTCTGGGTTTTCAGGCTAAACTCGCGGCGACTGTCCCTAGAAACCATAAGAACATCTTCACAGTCATTAACAACATTACCGCCACGACTGTCCTTCGACACCTCTCACGAATGGCGCTTCACTGCGCGATATGATCTTCGGTTAAAGATTTCGCCGTGGACGCCGTACGACTGGCATTTTATTGGTCTTTTTTCTTCGCTAGACATCAAATATTTGGTGGCCTTAGCTCAGATTATTGCGCTACGCGAGAGAGGGAGAGCAATATTACACATATAATCCAAGAAAGCATGCAAAAGGCATCATCAGGTAATCAGCAAATCAGCATCTGCAACCACATATAATAACTCCGGGAGCCGAAAACGACCGGAATACCTGTCAAGGTGTGTAATGTGCAGCACCATCCCTACGTCCCATGGCATGTTTTCCGCGACTAGCTCAACGAGCCAATTGCCATATCCCGCCTAGATTGTTGAGTGCCCTCCACAGGGAACTTATCTTGCCAGGGCTTACATTACCGGCGATTCCTTCAGGCTGATGGCCGCATGCACCCTGCAGGCAAGGTGTTCCAGTGTTCGCATCTAGAGAACCCACGGGCAACCCCGAACCTGCTCCTGGGTCGGTTCTGTCCAATCCCCGTCCCAGGATAGTATCCAGATCCTGACGCTGCAGCTGTGCCAGTTTCACTGTTGTATCTACTCCTGCTGTCGACGGCGGCAACGTTACCAGAGTGGAGGACTGAAGAATCGCGGGTGAGGACATCCTCCGTTGCTCCGGAAGATACCTGCGGCTTCTCCTTCTCCTCGAACAGCGCACCATCATCGGCGGTCGATTCCGGTGCCTCTGGCTGTACAGTCCCATGGAGAGGCTCCGTCTTTTGTTCCCATTCAGCTTGCCGCGAGCTTCCTCTTCTTGGTCATAGCCGACAGTGTTCTCCCTCTCGTCCCCCCGGGAGATAAGATCGCGGGAAGGTCACGTTCAGGGTTCTAGGATTTGCAGAGAGGAACCCCCCTCCGAACGGCGAGAAGACGTGATGAACAGAAATACCGTAGTATCAACGATAGCGGCGATCTTCTAGTCATAGAAGCTTCGAGGGATCAAAATGTCACTCGAATACATGGACAAAAAAAATGCGCATCATCGAGAGACATCTAAGAGCTGATGATCGATCGTGAATTTCGTGAATTGTACTTTGATCCTCTGCTTTCATACATTACGTGGACCTGTTCCTTCCCTCAACTCCCCCCCTCCAACTTCCACAGCGTGCCTTGACATCGTGGAGCGAGGGTCCCCGCAGGTCACATCGGTGTCGATAGGCGTAATCACTTTGCCGCAGGTCACATCGGTGTCGATAGGCGACGCGCAGCGGATTTGCGTCCCCCCACGCGACCGGGCACAGGGCAGCAACGCGTACGACTTGCCAAATCGATGTTAAAGTTCTTCAAACTTTGATGTCAGATGATGAGTAGTGAAATAAAAGATTCCAAGGGCCGGGAATGACAACGTGAGCAGCTTGATGTTGGATAGAAATGCACGTTAAACACTACACAAAAGATCATTTTGCCGCTGGCTACTTACGATTCCTGAGTCAGCTGCATGGTAGAAGGAAGAGAGCCGGGGAAGCTAAGGCGTCGCTTGTGGATTTGGCAGCGTACTGCTGCACAGGTGCAGGTTGTCAAGTGAAAGAGGCTGTGCTGGGATTGCGGGTAGCTTGCCAGTGTCTCCTCCTCTCCCTCCTCTCTTCTCCCCCCCTTAATCTGCGCTTTACCGAGACCGTCTTCTACGGCAGCGAGCGTTGAGTCGAGCGACCGCATCAGCGAGCCGATCTCCCACAGTAGGATTTCAGCTGACCGGCTCGATCAATTACACGATCAAAATGTCAAACTTTCGGAAAGCAAGGTGACAATCATTAATTCTGGATGTTCTGCTTTCCCTAGAAACTTGTTTTTTTATTTGGGATTGTGATCGCTTAAGGATCTTATGCCCCCATTATTTAAGGAATAATTATGATACGCTAAACCTGGTTATGCCTTGCGATGTTCATGTTTGAAAAATATTTACCTTTGTTTAACCTGAATCTACCGTTTCAACGATCATACCACAAAAGATTGTTCAAGAAAGCATGAACTCCTCTCGGAAGGTAATCAGCATTAAGCTATAGAGGTGAATGGAGATCTATGCTTTGAGACCGTTTCTATGATAATGATTGATGTGGGAATCCACTGTTCAACTTGAAAAGTAGTGTAACGTTCTTAGACTACACAAAGATGCTTGTTATATTTTTGATGAATAATTTGATTTTGAACTATGGTGATTTTTAGTATATGCCTGTAAGTTATTATCTCGCCTGATCTTGAACAACCGTGCATGCGAGAGGCGAAGGATATTTGGGGTATTGTCTTGAAGCGAACAAAGCTTGAGCCTGCAGGCATAAGTATAATTGACTATCAGAGATCTCATTTTCTTGCTGATAGATTGTTGGTTAATTATCAAACATCTTATTTTCTCAGGGATCTCATTATTTAACCTTGATGGTAATGCAATTTTGAGTGGGAAATTATTCTAAAGAAAAACATTGAAGAATAGGAGAAGAGAAAGAGGAAGAAAGGAGGTGGGTTACGAGCTGGAATCTTCGCGTACTCCGGATGGGGTTTTCTACTCATCAATGTGTGTTACCAGGATAATACTTATTTATCCCCTTATTTTACAAGAAATACCTGCAGTCGCCTAACAGAAAGAAAGAAATACGGATCAAATTAGTTGTGCAGCATATATTTTGATGTGAAACAAGATCTAATTGCTTCCATAATTCAATTGGCTGGCGTAATTTTTCTACCCAATGACTCACGAAATGTAGTCTCCTGATATATGATTGTTTGAAAAGTCTTTATGACATAAGTAAGGTGTCTTGAAATCTCCAGGTAAGAGATATTTTAAAAGCGAAGAAACTTGATACAATTTCGATCGTTTCAACTTGGGGGATTATTTTCAATAGAACATGATTACACTTTTTTTGTTCATTATATGTTAAAAACTGGTTTGACATATGCTTCTGAGTTAAATTCACCTTGTTTTATTAGCCTTTTTTCTTCCCTAGACAGCAAATATTTCGTGGCCTTAACTAAGATTATTGCTCTACGCGAGAGAGGGAGAGCAACATTACACATAATCTAAAAAATCATACAAAAGGCATCATCAGGTAATCAGCAGATCAGCATCTGCAACCACATATAATACCTCCAGGAGCCGAAAACGACCGGAATACCTGTCAAGGTGTGTAATGTGCAGCACCATCCCTACGTCCCATAGCATGTTTTCCATGAACAGCTCCATGAGCCTTGGGAGGGATTGCCATATCCCCCTTGTATTGGTGAGTGCCCTCCACAAGTACTCATCTTGCCAGGGTTTACATTACTGGGGATTCCTGCAGGCTGATTGCCGTATGCACCCTGCAGGCCAGGTGCTCCACTGTTCACAACTAGAGAACTCATAGGCAACCCCGAACCTCCTCATGGGTTTGCAAGCATTGGTGTCGAATTCTGTCCAATCCCAGTCATAGGATAGTATCCAGATCCTGACGCTGCAGCTGTGCCCGTTCCACTGTTGTATCTAGTCCTGTGTCGGGAGGCGCCATCAAGTGCCCAAAACTGGCCGATTGCGAATGACTACCCGTCCTGGTAGTTGCTCTCACCCAAAGTCCGATGTGATCATTGTGCGCCACCCAGAGACCCCCCAATGACGCAGTGTGACCCCCCCGCGACCTCTCGACCGGGTTGCGACCGGAAGATCAACCGGAGGCGAGCATCTCACACGCGCGGCTCACGCGCGTACCGCACGGAGAACGCGGTAAGACGAGGACTGGGCGGAGCGAGCCTCATGGATTTAGAACGAGCCATCCGGAACTCTCAGAGACCCGAAGCGGACGCGAGAACCCGTCTAAGGAGAAGAGGACGTGGGGAGGATAATCCGGCGGAAGATTATCCGGACGCGGGCGAAGAAGAGAAGGGAGAGGGAGAATAATACGGCGGAAGTAATTCCACTCCCGCTCTACTTAAAGGCGATAGGTTTAAGATAATGAATGGGGGTTGAAATGATAGTGTTGATCACTGCGGATTATAGGCTATTTCAATAGAAATTGTGTTGCTGTGAAAATAACAGCGGCTTGAAGCTAACGAATTGTTATTGAATTTATCAATTCTTATTTGTGATTACTACCTCTCTCATCGTATTTTTTTTCACTCTTTTACGCTAATAGAACCGACAGGGAGAAAACATAAGATCTATATTGGTTTGGCTTACCTGAGCTACTCTGTTTAATAAGAAACGTGTCCTTGAGTTCCACTAACTCATTGCGCGTACACTGAATTCTATGCCTCAGCCACTTGTTGGATTTCATATTGCAGTAGTTTAGAGTTTCTCTAAAAAATTATCTTCCAAATTCGTGACTCTCGGAGGCCTAGAGCTTGTAGTTTTTCCTTGAAACTCTTTACTCAATTCAAGACTTTAAGAGGCTCAAAGTAGATAGGGTTATCAGTTTTCTTAAACATGTTAGTACAACTCTAATAAAAAAACTTTGGAATACCATGGGACATTCACAATTGATGTGATATTTTGTGGTGCATGAAATTTTCTTATTTGTCATCAAGGAAGCTTTGTGGGTAGGAGAGATAGAATACAATGGCTCTTCTCCTTTTATAAGTGCTCAAGGACAAGGGATGTTTTGGCAATTGCAATTAGAACAAAAAATGAATGAGGGTTGAAGGACGTGGGCTGTTGCGGCTCGAAGAAAGCGGGACGTTTGGGCCGGGAAGCCAGGGCTCACGATCTGGTTTGATTAAAACCCCAGCCGGAGTGGGGGAGAGAGAGAGACAGAGAGGGGGGGGCGAATCGGACGGCGACGGCGAGGGAGAAGAGGAGGGTTAGCGACGGGGCGGGCCGCCGGAAGGCGGAACGGGGGCGACGGCGGGAGAGGGCAACGGTGGAGGCAGTCGGATGGTGGTGGAAACGGTGGCGGACGATGGTGGCTACAGGCGGCGATTCGAGTGCTAGCGGCGATGGAAGGGGAAGGCGAAGGTAGGACGGCGGAAGGGATGGCGATGGTGGTCGACGGCGGCAGCGAGTGGGAGGCGGAACAAGAAGGGCGGAGGTCGGGATGGGAGGTGGCGGCAGTTGGCAACTGAAACGGCGAAATGAAAGGAAGACGGACTCAGTAAAAGGTTAACTCGCCCCTTTCAGGGCGTTTGCGGTGACGACGTGAACGGCAGATGGTTGAGTTCTTGGCGAGATCTTCGTCCTCCTCTATTGCACGTCTCCAGCTCTTCACCTTGGCCGGTTCCACCTTCTTAAAGCGATGGGGAGCTATCAACCGCTGCCATAGTGACGTCCAACTGTTTCTGGCGTTAGGACTATGACAGTTTGCAAATAAGAGTGGGTGTCTACTGTCGCGTAATCAAATTTGACAATGAAGATCTTATCCGATCCAAGCCATGCAACTTGAGTACCACACCACCACATTATTGACAGAAGGTTCCTTCCAACTTAGGCAGGGGCTGTAGCTTTGAGCTTTCCAATTCATATGTCAATGACGTTCGTAGAGCGTTGGCGTGAAGAATTTGAGTATTGAGGACAGAAATATTCTTCTCCCTATAACACAACTGTCCCGAGGTTGACGTATGTTGGAGATTTTCAGGTAAAATCCACCAATGCTTTCAACCCATTATTCGAGCGGAGCGAAGGTCCCTGTGCACCCGATCCAATGCCCGCCTCTCCGAGTTTCTCCTTTGAAGGTGATCGTACTGTAATCAGTGACCTCAAAGCGAGAACATGAACGTTTTGTGGAGAGCTACCTTTGACACCCCGCCGTGCGACACTACCATTCAGAGTACTGGTGCTCGTGTCTCATGCCCATGGGAAAGGGGGTTGGCGCGTGCTGGCATGGTCATGGAAATAACCGATGCCTAGTCTGCTGCTCCCCGGGTGGCAGATACTCTGGAGAAGGTCAGGAAGAAAGAGTGCATTCCGGTCATACGAAGACGTGATTATCTTATGTGAGGCAAAGGTACATCGGGTTGGCATTGTAGATGGCATTCTTCTCCTAGCCTTCCCTGGTGAAATACCGTGAGCTAGCAATTTTACTCGCAAGCGGAGGGCTAAAAAGTCGTGGAATAGAGTGACAGATTTCTGCCACCGGTACAGAGAGTTGAGTTTTCTTTCAAAACTCCGAGTCATAAGCCATGTTTCGTCAACCTATTAATTGCAGAGCTGCTAATTCCCGAACTGCCACCAATATTATCGTGGTTTCAATAGCTGCTGACTTAATGGTCTGATCGGGACTGCTCCTCTCAGCGGTCTATATAAGGTCCCAGGCGTCTCTGTAATGTCACAGGCATTCCTCTCCAGTCCTATTTTCTCACCCTCGAACCAATTCCCCCATACGTCGTCACTTCCCTTTCTGGTACCATGGCCACAAAGACTCAAGCCACGGCGGCATTTCTTCTTTTGAATCTAATGTTCTGCACATTCGCCTCTGGACAAGGGATACCTTTACTTCCTAGTATTCCTGTACTTAAATGCGTCGCGCAGCTCGGGGAAACCGTCGCCTGCGGCCTTCTACTCAATCTCCTCAGGATCGGAAGTTTCAGCGCGCTACTTAATGCAACCTGTTGCGCTTTGTTCGCGTCTCTCACGAGTGGGGAGACAGCCCAATGCCTCTGCATCGGGATAAGGCTTCGGCTTCTTGGTCTCAACGTGAGCATTCCTGGTGACATTAATCTGATACTGCAGTCGTGTGGCAAGAATATCACTATCGGAGGTTGTCCATAGTTTCTCGCAGCACACTCCTCGCCGGAGAAGTTCCCCCTGTATCCTGGGCGCCTTATGTGGTTTCCCTGCTGTGGTTTACTTGTGGTCTACGTCTATCCTGTTTCGTAATCAGTAATGTAATGTCAACTGTATGAGGGTAAGCAAGAGACTCTGGTCTCCTCTTCCCGAACTCCACTCGTGCAAGAATAGTTGTCCTCTGGATAAATATGTTTCCGGTGCAATGTGTTTCAAACTGCGACCCCGCCCCCAGAGCAGGGGTTGTTTGTCGGACTTTCAGGCTATCGACGTATTTGAGATCGAATGGCATACGCACCCTCATGCGGGGAAAGCGCCCGAGCAAGGATCCGCCGTTGTTGCAGTCTTGTAGCCGTATGGCACGACATGCCACGGGGTACCTCACCATACACGAGTTGGCTGAGGTCCATTACACGAGCTCCCTGATGCGCTTTTGCCGAGAGGCATCTCCAAATTTGCATGAGGGCGTCGCACCCGTGTAGGCGGTTTGCCTGGCTTGTAGGATTGGATAATGAGTTAGGCGCCACATTGTTCCTCACTTTTGTCACCCTATCTGTCAGCATCGATCAAGGTCGATGTTGATGTGTTGGCTCTAAGGCTACTCTCCCCAGTTCTGTCACTCGAATTAGCTCCAAAGCCTCAACGCTGTGTCAGGCTCGAATGTGTATGCCGCTGATGTCTGTAAGAGACTTCTTCACATGCCTTGCCTTGAAAGAACGGGAACCAGCTTATCTTCAATGCGGCGAAGTGTCATGCCTTTTTTAGAAGATCCATTGAAATTGGTTGTGGGTTCTGATGTTGATGAATGAATGCTTGGATCAAATTTGAGGTGTAGGTCGGAATGTATCCTATTAGAGATCGGTTGATTGTCAACCATGATTTATCCCATACTAATAAGAGTGGTTCTTCAATGTGACAGTTCTTTTCAGGTCGGCGGAGATTTCTCCGGTATGATCAACATGAAAATGATGAAGAGTTCGACTCATAAGAAGAACAAACAAGAGTGCGGAAGTCAACTTACTGTGTCTTTTCATCTGGTTCATTATGAATGGTCCTAGATTGACTTGCTTCCTAATTCGTATGTAACGAATAAGAAAAAGTGGTTCTGTTGTTGTCTTGTTAAAGCTTTCCGCCTATATGAAAGTATATGATGAAGAATCATACAAATCCATGGTAGTTGAGAAGCACGAATATGGGAAGCAATTGTAGGATATGCAAAACCACTCATAGATTACATCTCAGAATCCCATGATCAGTGCTAAATATCATCGTGTTCAGATGGGTAGATGGTCTTGTTGCCGAATGTAGAATATGTACACCTTGGGATATGTTTTACCTTTGACAGTGGTAGTACGACTAAATTCTGCAAAAGTGATGCGGCAGCATCAAGAATAGTGATGATGATATTAAGAACACATAGTAGAAAAATGACAAGTAGAAAGAGGAGAAGAAAAGATAAGCGTAATAGTATTAATAATAACCACAATAAAAATATAATAATTATAATAACAATAATAATCGTTATCATCATGGGCAGTAGGAGCTGCATCAGAAGAAGCAAGAAGAGGAAAGAGAAGCCTAGGAAGTAGAAGGAGAGTCGGCAGAGGGAGAGAAGGCGTAGTCGTCTTTTGTTGAAGGTGGCATTTCCAGAGGTCGTGTGTATTTCTGTTATTAAGTGGCGAAGAAACGGCTGATCGGAAGTTTTCTTCTCGTGATGACGTAAGACGAATAATAATTTTTTCCCAAGCTATTTGGGCTGGACGGGGGGAGTTGCCCCGCCTCACCTAAGTCTCGCTGTTTCTCCTCCGGTGCGATTTTGCGTCCGCAAAGTGTCGCACACTGATCCGCGACCCTTCCTGCTGGTTGCAATTTTTCTCCGTCTGTCCCTCCCCTCGCTGCAGATTACTCTCATGGCTTCCGAGGACATCCACATCCTAAGAATATCTCGTCACTCTTGCTCCACGCCGCGGCCCTGTATTCTGCTTTGGGCCCGTGTGTTAGTTGCCCTTTGATTTATCTCTCCATTGGTCTTGGAGAGTGTTCTTGAACTTCTGTTTCATACAGAATATCTTTTATTTAACTTTGATTTTAGTTTTACGTCAGCGGAATATCTTTTTTCGGTCGTTGACTAGCGGCAGGTAGCATTTACTTGGTTCGTATTTTAAAAGTTGGACTCCTGTCCTGATAGGTGTTTCTGTAACCCGTCTACTTTCTGTGGTCTGTTTCACGGCGTACAAGGAACTTATGGGATGATATGTCGCAAAGAAGCTGAAAGCTCGAGCAATGAACTCATTTAGACTCAGGGAGAAAGTACAACTGTACCAGAGGATTTTTGTGGGATAGTGATGGACTTATTAGAACCAAACCGCTGTATGCTTGAGGAGGTGAACGAAAAGTTGTCTTTACCTTCAGTTCAAGTGGAAGAACGGTAATCTGTCCAATACTTTGAAGGAAATCAGATTCGGCAATATATGGTTTTAATTTTGAGCGGACCGCCGTGGAAGGTGCTCTCTCTCTCTCTCTCTCTCTCTCTCTCTCTCTTGCTGTGTCCAGCGACAGCTGGGCATGAGGAATTCCTCTAGATGCTCCATTTATACACTTCTGTGAGCCGAATACGACGAGGATGGGGCGGGTAAGAAGTAGACCTCGACCGTTTTCATAGGTCCCCAAAAAAAACGAAAGTCGACCCTTTGAAGGAAAATGAATGCATTTGAACATAGATAAGGAAGCAAATGCATCAGTTCTCACATTTTTATTATGCCAGATTCTTCTGGGGGAGGCGAATTAGACGAAGAGACGCTTTTGCCTCTCGTTGACGTTCGGATTGGTCTGGACAGAATTTATTAAAAGAGAAGTTTAAGAGCTTCATTAGATATTCGAGAAAAAAGCTAAAGTAAATGATGCTCAGACTGCCTCTTTCCTGAATTTTATTCAGAAAAACGGAGAGGCTACTGATTTCCTTAGATGAATGTCGTACGTCATAACACCTGTCCGAGAAACGCATCACCTAATCACGTGGATTCTTCATTGTCAGGGTGGACAATCTTGATCTGCTCAGTTTCTTGAGAGAATACCAAGAACAGGCAGGGAAACGAATCACAAAATAGGTATCGGGTTCCAGTGTATGAAGAAGGATACGAATGATATCTAGCTGCTCTGAGAACGTAAGTTTGGTTGTTCGTTAGGCACGTTATCTGGACTGCATTTTTGCGGCAAAACTATGGGGTCAGTTACTAAGAACATCAACTTATATGGTAGGAAAAAGGAAAATTTTGAATAATAACTTACCAATGGAATGATTCAAATAAGTAAAGAGTAAGTGGAAATGGAGACCGATATCTTCTTTAGTTGTACACCAATGGAGCTCTAACCATTATATACAGCTTTGGGTATCCTTCCCGAGGTCTCCTCTGAGAGAAAGATCTTCCGTCAGCAAATGCCAGCTTCTACCCGCCCGCAAACTCGCTCGTATTCCCCCCGTCTCGACAGCGATGCTCCGCAGCCGGCGTCTACCAAAGGTTAAGAGCTCCAGAGGCGAGGGACCCAAGGAGGAATCGGGGAGAGGACCCCGGCGGCCACCAAGATCCCGCTGGCGCCGCCATTTGTGCGTCTGCAGGACGAAGGGTGTTTGTCGTCATGCACGCCGCCTCATTTCATGGAGTCTCCGGAGGAGGAGGTGTAATCCCGCCGACTCCAAAACTCTCGGCAGTTGCACTGCTGCCCCCCCAAAATGCCGTCCCGAGCATCTGTTGTGGACCATCCAGACCGTGCACGACAAACTTCCGCGCAGGTCTCTCTCCGGCGGAATGCTGGGGACAAACCCTGGCCTCAGAGCCCCCTTCCCCTCGTGTGGAAGCAGTGGTTGAAGCCCTCCTCTTCCTCTCCCCCCCAGGCTCCCGCTTCTCCCGCTTCCCTTTTGCTGTTTGAACTGGCCGGCAAGTTGCCCGGAGAAGAAATCTTCTACATCCTTGTAGTCGACAGGTGGTCGACCCTGCAGACCGTCTGCTGTGCGGCACATCGATGGCCGACGATGAAGGAGATTTCTTCTGCTGGCCGGACAACATGAACGAAGTCAAGCGTATTGCAAGGCGGCCAAAGGGGCAACATGGAAGAAGAGGTGGCAAGCGCGGCCCAGAGGGAAAGACGAAAATGGGGAGCTACATCAAGCGTTGTAAATTAAGGGGTGCCTTCGGTGCGAATGCCGTGGCTTTCCCCATGTCGTTTCTAAAGGAGTCCCCTAACCTTGCAGGACCTATCCATTCGATGGCGCCCGTGATCGGATGGCGGAGGACGCCGGCGGCGAGGACTCCATCTTCGCATGTGGTCGTTCCAGACTTTGATACGACGGCGCTCTCCGCGTTCGCTGTCCGGCGTCTTTCGGCTCCTCAGGCGCAGTCGGTGCATTAAGCGTGGGTTCTCATGCAGTTTCTTGGAACGCTTCACAGGTCGACCTATTCTCATACAGCTTCTTCCTACCATCGAATGTCTGGGTTTTCAGGCTAAACTCGCGGCGACTGTCCCTAGAAACCATAAGAACATCTTCACAGTCATTAACAACATTACCGCCACGACTGTCCTTCGACACCTCTCACGAATGGCGCTTCACTGCGCGATATGATCTTCGGTTAAAGATTTCGCCGTGGACGCCGTACGACTGGCATTTTATTGGTCTTTTTTCTTCGCTAGACATCAAATATTTGGTGGCCTTAGCTCAGATTATTGCGCTACGCGAGAGAGGGAGAGCAATATTACACATATAATCCAAGAAAGCATGCAAAAGGCATCATCAGGTAATCAGCAAATCAGCATCTGCAACCACATATAATAACTCCGGGAGCCGAAAACGACCGGAATACCTGTCAAGGTGTGTAATGTGCAGCACCATCCCTACGTCCCATGGCATGTTTTCCGCGACTAGCTCAACGAGCCAATTGCCATATCCCGCCTAGATTGTTGAGTGCCCTCCACAGGGAACTTATCTTGCC